TTATTGTCCAAAATTTAAATTGGACTCTTCCCGTGAGGTGAGAATGAGGGGAGCTCATTTCCTGCCCCCCCCTCCCCGCCCTTCACCACCATCCTCCCCTCCACACACACACACACACACACCAAGCAAGCAGATGGTTTTTCTTCAAGGTTTAAGAAAGCCAGCTTTCAGTCTTGAATCATGTGCCTCTGGGCACTTTGAAAACTGCCTCTTCTGCCTATTTTTAAGACCAGTATGAAAAAAAAAAATGATACGCAGATTAGAATAAAGAAACCACCTGTGTGGGTTTGCTGAAAAAGGCAGGCTGTAAAGTTAGCAGCACTTTGATAAGCATTTAGTTATAGAAAGAATGCATCCTTATCTTCTAGGACTTCTTTGTTCAGCTTTTTCTACAAGAGAACAAATTCTTGATAAATGAATACCGTCATCTCTGCCAAGTCGTTGACTTGACACTAGTTTTCAATCATGTTAACCTTTCACACCTGTGAATGGTTTATGTATGAGAACTTCCATCCTATTTTAAGAGTACTTTCTTTGGCCAGCCTTTCTCATATACTCTGATAGACTATTTGGATACATTGTTAGATTTACCAAAAGTTACATAAGACACAGGAAAAAACCCACCACTAATCATTATGTAAATACATATATTTAAAGTAGTCATTTTAGAACTAAAAATATTCTTCTCTTTTTAAAAAGAAAGGTTGGATCATTAAATAGTGATTCTAATGGCATTAAAACTTACTTTTCCACTGGTTTGCATATTGATGGAAAAGTATTGGGGCCAAGACTGAGTGTAAAAACAAACCCATTAATTATAGAAGGTACATAATGGAAAATAACAAGCCTACAAATAGTATAGTCCTTGTATGTCCTTGAATGTCCTGCTCTGCGCTTTGCATGCCATCACTCTCCCTCAGAAGTCTGAGCTCTGTCTAAAGTTGGTGTAGGCTCTGTTCCTGACAATAGCTGGGTTGTAGTGGAAACTGCCTTCACCACCTAAGTTATGGGGCCTGATACAGTGAATACCATACAAGCAGTGGGTCTGCTTGCCCTAAATTATGCCTGTTCATGTGACCCCATCATTATTCCCAGGATCTGTGCCCTTTGCCCTTGATCTCATTTCTACAGGATTTAGACAAGTGTCAGACCCTTGGAATGTTACACAATAGTGACCTTGATTCCCTGACTTTGCTCTGCAAAAAAACTGACTTCAAATCTAGTGTTGAAATTATATGGAATGCTTTGTAACTATGGTAGTCAGGCTATTCCTGATTCAAAAGAAGCCCTAGCCCTCTTTCAGAGACATCTGCCTTTTGATTTGGCTCAGGCTTTCTGGTCTTAAAGATAGATAATGCATTTATAGAAGACTAAAGCCTCTTTGTTGTTGCATTTGATACATGGGGAAATTCAGGTGATTCCTGCTTAATATGTTAACTTTCCAGATATTATTTCTAAAGCCCTAGCCTTTTAATTGTCAAAAACAACACTTTCTGTAAACAAAACAAAGCAAAACACTGCTTGGCAAATGATACTAGAATAAAGATGGTGGGATGTTTAGTGCTTGATGGATGAACAAGTGGAAAGAGGGTGTAATTCGGAACCAAGAGGCACCACCCCATGGCTGGTCCTGAGCTCCTTTGGGGGGAAAAGCAGTCTTTAATTACATCTGGTACTCATTAATTGTTTTTGGAGTCTCTTTCCAGATCTGTTCCCCCATCAGCCTCCCATTGAGCAACAGAAATTCCAGATGGTTCCCTCCATATGCCAGTGCTCATTCTCTTAAGTAGGATAGATTGGTCACTGACAGACTGGAGTGGAATAGCCTTGGCCAAGTCTAGCCAAGGTGAAAAGCATTGGGCCATAGTTAAATTAGAGGTGGTCTATCATTCATGTTTTTAAGTGGGTTGTATAAGTAACTCTTTCTGAGTGATTTTTCTGAAATGTCTTGAGTAATTTCATGGAAAGAATGCTACTTCTAGAGAATAGGGTTCATTGATTCCAACTTGCCACACCTGGAACAGAGAGACGTCCTCTAAAACCTGCTATTATCACTGAAGTTTGGTCAATTTGAACCTGCAGCTGATCTCTGGAGACTGCGTTATGATGAATTATTTTGCTACTTGCAATGATAGCTGTAATCTCTGTGATTGTGATAAAAGGAGAATTTTTTAATAAAAATCTTTTGGGGTATATGTTTATTTTATTTTAGCAGAATTTTGGTAAAAGAGAGACATCAATAAGGCTTTTCATTTTGAAGTAGATGGGAACACAGATGGGGTCAACCTCCACATAATGAAAAAGTATATTATCATTCAAGTATGTCGCATTGTATTTATTTGCTTGTCTTCATCTGATGATGAGAAACATGTCTTACTCATCTTTGAATTCCTACTACCCAGGAAGATTTGGCATATCATGGGGAAAGAAAGTAGGAAAGAAGTAAAGGTGAAATGTGATGAGGACAGATTAAGAAATTTCAAAGAGAAAGGTGGCACTGAAAGAAATAAGAGTAATGTTTCTACTCTCATGTTCATTTTACATTTTTTTTCTGATAGCCATTGGATTTTACATGTGATGTGTGTGTGCCCATGCATGTTCTTCAGTGTTATTTTTAAACACCTAATATATGATAGGTATTATTCTAGGTGCTGAGCAAATAAAAGTAAAAAAAATAAAATAAAAACACAGCTATGGTCTCTATTCTCATAGAACTTGTAATAGGCTTTCTGTGATTTGTGGGAAATTTACTGGTATATTTGGAGTGGGTAAGGCAAAATTAAGAAAAAAAATTTCTTCTAAGGAAGGGTATATGATAAAGACCAAAGAGATTTTTTAAATTTCATGTAGTTTTCATATTTTAACTGAAAAAACTGTTCAAAAGAGGACTACTATCATGCTTTTATGAATGTATGAGTGCTATACGGATGAAAGAAAGCATTTATCAAAACAGTTTAATTGTTTTGTACAATCAGGCTCAACAGCCAAACATTGGTAGAGTAGGCCACAGGTTGGAAGAGGTAAAGACCATTTGTATAGAACTCTTGTTTTCAAAGGTGCTTGCTTGAAATAATTTGTCTTGCTTTTGAAGTCATATCAAGGTCACGAACCCATAAAATATATTCTAAACTTAGAACATTCTCTAGATATTTCACTCTTTTTCTGCATGTTTGTAAAGTACCAGAGATTAAATTTAAATGTGTATATTTATTTTCATCTGTTTAGCCTGACCATTCGTTTTGTATCAGTCACTAATAAACTCTTGAATGTAAGGTGTGTAGGGAACTAAACTCAACAGCTCTGGGCAACATTTATTTCTTCTTTATCTTTGATGTAACAATAAACACTAGTGATTTTTTAAAATAGATGGTTTCTTCACCTAACGAAGTCACAGTGGGAGAGAAAGACCTAATTAAATTGAGACCAGCCCAGTGGCAGTTGCCTCCTTACATGTAATAATATATATGCAATTATAATGATGTGTTTTAGTGCTCTATCATAAGAATGCACAAGGTTTCACTGCAGAGTGAAAAGAGAGAGATTTCCATAGGGGGAGTGGTAAATCCAGTGGTAGGACTGTCAACGGCTTACTAGCAGAACTAAAACTTAAGTTGGTTCTGATGGATGCAGTGGGTGGTGCTGATGCTGCTGGATTGTGGTCGTACCTTTGGGACCACTGTTCTACCGTCTAACGGAGGGACAAGGGAAAAGAGAGAGCATGTACGGTAGAATTTATGAATCGGGCCTACAGGTGTCACACTTCAATTCTGCCTACATTTTATTGACTACAAGTGAGCCACAGGACTTCATCTAGCTGCAAAGGAATCGGGAAGAGGTAGTCTAAATCTGAACCCATGAGAAAAAGGGAAATTATTGGTTTACAACCCTAAAGTCTCTACTTCAGCAAAGTGTGCCTGTCTTACAGCTAGGGAGATAGGCAGAAACTAGAAAAAACCACTTGTGTAAAGCTCATTTGGGGCGCAGGTTCTTAAGAGCAGCAGGGTGCATTCTTCTTGAAATAAGACATGAGATCATGTTAACAAAATTCCTTAAAAATCTTTACGTGTGTCAGTGATTCTGGTACTTGAAATTTAAGCAGAAATATTTATTTGCTATATTTAATTTGTGTTGAATTATTGCTGAGCTTCAGAAAGCAGCACAATACTTGGGCATGTGTAAAATATTTACTGTTTTAAATGATAGGTTTTTATTAATTTATTACTCTAATGTTACTTTTAGAAAAACCTATGATCCTTCTGAAGTTGTATGGAAACTGTTAATATGAAAAAGGAGATGGAGAGCTCTAAAAGCATGCAAGGCTTATGGACAACAGTAACTGATGATGAAAATAGTCAGTATTTACTGAGCACATAGCAGGCATATTGCTTTACATGGTGGGAATTGGGGCATTGAGAATGGCTTACTAGTACTGTATAAGCACTAGTAATCAGCTCTGTTAACTCATTTGACCCTCATGAAAACCCTATAAATGAAGCAAGTATTTTTATTATTATCCCCATTTCACAGGTTAGTTAACTGAGGCCCAGAGAGGGAAAGTTGTTGGTCCAACTAAGTAGCAGAGCTGAGTTTCACATCCACATAGTCAGAGGCCAAGATCATATCTATGGTTCTCGACCTCTCTGGAAACTAGAGCCAAAGTGAAGGGATAAGGACAAAGCGTTGGCACCTTATCTGTCCATTTGTACTGAAGTAGGCTTGGGACAGCTCTTTGGGGCAGAAGCAATGTCTTTTGGCCATAACGCTCGGTTTGTTAAGCAATGGCAGAATTCACTAATCATGCCTTTTTCTCCCCCTGCTTCTTTATTAAGGCCTAGGCTTTGGCAAACTATTGGTTCTCCCGGATACTGCACCTGCTCTGCCATAGGTAGAAACATAAGCAGCCCCTGAATTTCCTGGAGCACCGCCGAGTAAATCCCTGGAGGAAAGAAAGCAATTCTTGTCTTGGTTACATGTCTGAGCAATGTCTTTTCTCTCTGCAGACAGGACTGTCTTTGTGGATGTAGACCTTCCATTCCTCAAAGGCCTCTATGTGATGGGGACTTTAGAATTCCCTGTGGACAGGAGCAACATCCTGAGTGTGGCATGCATGGTCATTGCAGGCGGGGAGCTGAGAGTTGGTGAGTAAAGGCGCAAGGGTTGGGAGCATAATGGGAATTAAGCTCTGTGAGAAAGGACTTGGCACATAATGGTGTCATCCAGCAAGCAGGTTGCTTCATGGAGTTTGTGGAGAGCGAAGACGAGGAACGAGTTTACTATTAAAACTTTTCTTCAGCAAGCTTTAGACACAGACATGGGTCTTGATCTTTCTCTCATGTCCACCCCTGTCATCAGACCACGTTTCTGGCCCCATGCTGCTGCTCATTCCGGGGCTCTTTTGGCCTTCTCCAGGCCACAGATCAATTCTCCCCTCCGCTCTTTGTATGTGAACTTACCCGTAGCACCTTTTTTCAGAAGACCTCATGAAATGGTTTGCTATCCTTTGATCAACTAACTCATGATAAAATTTCAATTACTATCATAGTGCACATCCTTGGGAAAACAGACCTGAAACAAAACTTATGTGCTAATGCCTTACTGGGACAACTAATTGCAGTGAAGAAGGAGTAAAGGAAAAAGAGAGGTGAAGGAGAAAAGAGGGAAATCCAACACAAGGTAGCCACAGCTTTTGAAGGAAACATGGCTGTTCGCTTGGCTGTGTGATATGCCTTGAGAGAAGCCATTATAGAATTAACCTATCTTGGGACAGTAGGGGAGAAGTCTTGGGGGAAGGCAAATAATTCACCTGGTCCACCCCTCTTTCTTTGTTATGTTTTGTGGCTCCCTATGCAGCTAGTGGTGGGGCCAGAGACTCAGTGGGTGCTGGGAGATGAGGCTTCTCCAGCCAGGAAGTGAGGCATGTTGCTGAAGGGACAAGCAGGATGGAATGGATCTGGAATGGTGGATTAACCAGGAGTGGTGCATTGGTTTTATTAAAAAAAAAAAAAAGTGAGTTGCTATAGGTTAGTTTTACTTGGAACTGTTGTAGGCAATAAGTGTACAATGATGAAAACATGTGTCCTGCCCTCAAAGGAATTACTTTTAAACTTAGTGAAGCATTCTACTTTGCTCCCCAAAAGGAGATTAAAAGAGAATTTCCAGAAACAGTAGTACTTTTTTTCCCCCAGAGAAATAAATCTCTGATGATAAAGAAATATTTAGATATTGTTATTTGGTAGCATCCATGTTTTAAAATCACTTGTGGGAGAGAATGCTAGATCTAACTACCTGTCCAAAGCTAAATCGCTGTAAAAAGATTCCTGAAAAATTGTGGTCAAGCCTCTTCTTGAATAGTCCCAGTGACAGGAAAATCAAAAGCTTTTGAGACAACCTGTTCCCACATTTTAAAATCCTATTAGAATTGTTTTTCTTCTATTAAGCCAAGTTGTCTTCTAATTTCTGTTTGTTCAGGTTCTTCTATTTGATTCATGAAGGTTGAGAATCAAATTTCCTTTCCTTTGATAGTCATTCATTCACATTTTCTTGAATCTTCCCTTTTTCAGGTTATATAGTTCCTATTATTTTAGCTATAGTTAAATAATAGTTACTTCAATCCTTATTATCATTATTATTATATTGTGATATTCTAGTTATACCATTTTAATCAGAGTTATTGATGTTTTAAGATAATTTTTATTTTTTCAGTCTATTGTACAAAACTGGAAAAGAGAAAAGCAATAGAAAGTTGTATAGACAAAATGAAGTAATCACTCATATTCCCAAATGTAAAGATAATCACAGTTAACATTTTGTAGTCTTGTATTAGATTTCTTTTTCCTGCACATGCTTGACTAATTACATGCACGCACACACTTTAAAATGTAGGGTATACAGATAATTTGGGGGATCCTATGTTAGCAATGTGAAAATTTCCCCAGCTTATTCTATTTCCAGGACATAATATTTTTAAATTAAATTTACTGGGGTAACATTGATTAATAGCATTATGTAAACCTCAGGTGTACAACTTTATAATACAATTGTATACTCTGTTGTGTGCTCACCACCCGAAGTCTAATCTCCTTCCATCACCTTGTATTTGACCCTCTTTATTCTTTTCATCCTTTTTGTTGTTTCTATCAGTGAGTTTGGTTTTTTGGTTTGTTTGTTTTGTTTCCTTGTTTATTGCTTTTTGTTTTATATCTCACTCATGAGTGAAATCATATGGTTCTTGTCCTTTTCCGTCTGACTTATTTCACTTAGCGTAATACTCTCAAGATACATCCATGTTGTTGCAAATGGTGATATTTCATCTTTTTGATGGCTGAGTACAATTTCATTGTACCTATGTATCACATCTTTTTAATCCAGTCATCCAGTGAAGGGCACTTGGGTTGTTTCCATGTCTTGACTATTGTAAATAATACTGCAATGAACACAGAGTACATATATCATTACAAATAAGTGTTTTCAAGTTTTTTAGGTAGATACCAAGAAGAGGAATGGCTGGGTCATATGGTAGCTTTATTATTAGTTTCCTGCGGAACCTTTTTATTGGTTTTCATAGTGGCTGCAGCAATTTACATTCCTACCAGCAATGTATATGGGTTCCTTCTACAACACAATTTTAATAGCTTTAATATGCCATATCTATGTAAGTATATACATACACATATATGTATAACAATTTAGTGAGCCATTTTCTATTGTTGAACATCAAGTTTATTTCAGATTTCTTTTATTCCTTGTAACTTACTCTGTCATGAACATTTTAGCATTTAAATTATTATTCATATCTCTGATTATTTCCTTAGGATGGACTTTTATCAGTGGAATTAATGAGCCTAAGGATAAGTGCATGTTTTAAGGTCCTTGAAATGTATTGTCAAATCACTTTCCAGAAAGATTTTACAAATTTGTATTTCTTCCACATTTCTTGGAGTTATGAGATCTCCTCACAGTTAATATTGTCACTAAACATACTTGTTTTGTTTAATTCCTCTGAAAGTATGAAGTGAGAGGGAAAGGACTTTTCCACCTGAATAAAAATAAGAATGAAACAAGTATAATAGTTAAAAGCATGGCTCTAAGTCAGACAGCTTGGGATCACATCCAGCTTGGTCACCTATTTGCTATTTGACCTAAAGCAAATCAACCTCTGGACACCCTCATTCCTTCATCTACAATAATAGAACCTACCTCAGAGGGATGTTGAAACCATTAGACATAACAGCTCCTACTAAGTGTTTGGCATATAATAGGTATTTAATAAATGTTAGTTTATCTGTCAGGGTGCCTTCAAGAAATACTTGTAGATGTCATACTGTATTGGACAATCTGAATAGACATTGATAAAGAAACCATTTACAAATATCCAAACAGCATGGACCATACTGCAGGCTAATAACAGCAGGTCATTCTTTTTTTTTCATTGTTTTTATTTTCTTTAATTAAATTTTATTGTGGTGAAAATGGTTAGTAAAGTTACATAGGTTTCAGCTGTACAATTCTGTAATACATCATCTATATATCACATTGTGTGCTCACCATCCAGGTTCAGTTCTCCTTCAATCACCATATATTTTATCCCTTTTACCCTCATCTACACAAGGGAAGTTTAAGCTTATCCTCTGGTAACCACTAAACTATTGTCTGTGTCTATGAGTTTTGTTTATTCATTTGTTTGTCTTGTTCATGTGTTGTAAAGAAGATGTTATATATATATATATATATATATATATATATATATATATATATATATATATATATATACAGTGCAATACTATTCTGCCATAAGAAAAGATGAACTAGTGCCATATGTGACAACATGGATGGATCTTGAGATGGTTATGCTAAGCGAAATAAGTCAGACAGAGAAAGTCGAGAACCACATGATTTCAGTGATATGTGGGATACAAAGCAGAGCATTCTTGCCACCCCTTCCCCTAAGGGAATGAGAAAAAGAAGTCATTACTGGAATCAGAGATGAAAGGGGATGAGTGGAGATGGTTGCCAGACTGCAGCATGACCTTTTGTGTGGCTGGGGTCCACTCGGGAAGGGCCTATGGGAATAAATAATCTGATCTCACTCTCTTCCCTCTCATTTCCTGCTCACTATCATTTGGCCAAGACCAAATGGAACTCCAAGTAAAGAAGAATCCATTGATGTGCTGCTTGCAGGTCATCAGCATCCTGGGTCACTTAACAGAGTAAAGAAGGGCAGAGTTTGGAAATGGAAGCTGTTCAGCATAGTCAGCTACCATCTACCACAACAGACATGATTCTCTTATTAATACAGCCAAAGGTTAAACTAACTTCTTTGTCCAGCTATGTCATACTGCTGGCCTACCAACTATAGTGTCAACTCTAATTTCTATTATTTTCATATGTGCTGCCTCAAATACATATCTCTACATTGTACACTTGTGGAGGAATTATTTGTGTTTTTCCCTTGGGTCTTAGTACAATAGTGTTTACTATTTTTTAATTTATTATAAATCCATCTTTCCAAAGTGAAGAAGGCCATTTGAATTCTGTTTTTTTCCTTTCAGATTAATATCATTTGCTCATTTGTTAAATATTCTATAAAAGCCTTATCCAGTTCACATGGAAATATTAAATAAAATTGAGCCTTGTTCCTTTTATTAGAAAACTTATTTCAGGTTGACATCTTCTATTGCTAAGATTGATCTTTTTTTTTTCATTTCTGGTTATTTATTACTATAACAGACATTTGTTGCTTGAAAATCTGTACCTTTGAATGGAAGTGACACTATGCCACTGTCCAGTTTGGATTTATACATTTCAAATCTTATTTGTAAATTTTTCCATTACCAACTATATTTTTATCTATTGCTAGACAATGGCGTATTTTTTTCTCCTTGCTATGTCCATGCGTTTCAGGCCTAAAAGTTGATTATTGGAACCCATCTGCCCAATCCTATGTGTATTATGCCTGAAGGAAGACTTTCAACCCATCTGTCCAATTCTAGCACGCCCTAAAGAAATCCCAACATGAAATAGATAATAAGACTAGTTAGTAAATAAACTTAATAGATGTGGACGTTGGTACAGAGCACTGCCAGAGTATGTCTGCTATCTGATGCCATTTGATCCAAGTCCCAACATTGTGGAATTATAT